TGGCCTCCCTTCTCCCCCTCCCCTTCCCCTTCCCCTTCCCCTTCCCCTGTTCCTGTCCCACTAAGGCCCTCAGGTGCGGTTCTCTCTCTCTCTCTCTCTCTCTCTGTCTCTCTCTCTCCTCTCCTCTTCTTGGCCTTCTTCCTTGCTCTTCCCTCTGGCCTCCCTTCCCTCCCCCCCACTTCCCCTATTCTTTCCCCTCTGGAATAAACTTCCCAAAATAAAAACAGAAAAATAAAAAGAGAAAGAATGAAAATCCTCAACAAAATTCCAACAACATATTAAAAGGAGTGAAAAGCTAAGCTTTTAAGTTTTATCTAGAATTCTCTTTCATCTTGAATACATTTCATCTACCAATTGTTTTCTCGGCTCAACTCAGGATTTTAGTGAGAGGAAAACTAAGATGGAGGAAGCCTACACACTTAACATCGTTGCTTAGATTAATGGTTACTGAGATGCATACACTATAACTAAGAAGAGCACGAGATAAAAGTTGCAATCCTGGACCTATGAAAAGCTGTTACGATCATAACTACACTTCACCCATGCCAAAAGGGGGAATGAAATGTCACTATAGAATAACTCGGTCATTGCTGATAACAGTGAAGACAAAATAATACCACTTAGTACTGGCTGTATATCTATTTCTTTCCACAATTATTGTGAGAAATTGAAAAAAGTAACTAACGCCTAACGCTGGCATTATTTGTTTCTTTTCCCCTACTTTCCCTGAAATGAAAAAAGCCGTTGTCTTTCCGTAATATCATCTATTTCCACATATGACTGCGAGACTCCATTTATTTTTACGTTTATTTGAAGGGCAGGACAAGCAGAGACAAAGGGAGATGTGTCTCTGGGTTCACCCTCCATGTGCCTGTAACCACCTCCCCGGGCCTAAGCCAGGAGCTCAGTCTGTCAGTTACTCCAAAAGTGAAAGCCAAGTAATAAATCCAGGGGAGCGGATGTGTGGCACAATGGTTGAAACTGCTCCATGGAACGTCGTCCTTCTGCATCAGTGCCTAGCTTGAGTTTCGGTTGCCATGGTTCTGCTCCGCTTCCTTCCCACGCATGCCCTGGAAGCCACAGCAGACCACAGCTCAACTACCTGGGTCTCTGTCATCCCACATGGGTGACCCGGATGGAGCAATGGGTTCCTGCCTTAAGCCTGGCCCAGTGCTGCAAATACGGGCACTTGTAACAGAACCAATTTTTTAAGTTAACGACCAACCAAGCTTTTATCAACATATGTGGTAGTTCAGAACTGAATCCAATACACAATCTCTGTTGCCCGTCAAATAAATGACAGCTTAGGGAGACTTGTTCTCTGCCTTTAGTGCGTTTAGCCTCATAGAAGAGAAAAGAGAATATGTAAAAGAAAATTAAAAGATGCATCTCCCAGCAGTGAGCATCTAGCCTGGTTAAGGTGCTACATCCCCTGGCAGAGTTCCTGGGCCCGATTCCCAGGAGCTCCTGGCCAACGTGGACCTTGATGGGCAGCAGTGATGGCCCAAGTTTTTAGGCTCCTGCCACTGACGGGAAGGACCTGGATTGCATTCCCAGCTTTGGTGCTGGCTAGTGCAAGCACTTAGAGACGAGCCAGCATATGAGTGCTTGCTTTCCTTCACTGCCTCTCAAATACATGAGAAAAAAGAATGGGGCTGCTACAGTGGTACAGCACACTAATCCTGGGTACTCTTTTGAGTCTCAGCTGCTCTACTTCCATTTAGTTCCCTGATTATCACCTAGGAAAGCAGTGGAGGATGGCCCAAATCCTAGGGATCTTGCACCCGTGTGGGAGACCCTGAAGAAGCTCCTGGCTCTTTGCTTTGGCCCAGCTCTGTGCTGGTCGTTGCGGTCATTTAGGAAGTGAACCAGATGGTGGGCAATCGCCTGCTCTTTAAGTCTTTCAAGTAAAATATATCTTTTAAAAAATTCAGAAAAACAGAAAACAAATTTCTCCTAAACTAACACTACCAAGAGAACAGAACTCTCAAATTGGGAGAAATAGCTGCACAAAATTTTTTTCAGCTGTATGTGTGTGCAGATATCTAAATCTTTTTAAAATCAGAAAATCCAATTAGACTGCATCGTAATCAGTCTATTTCTATCACTCCATATCAACTACTATACTTAAAATCCCTCATCTTCAGTATAATATTATTATAAGGCTGTACCTAAACTTACCTAATCAATACTTGGTTACTAAATGTCCTTGCTTCATATTTTTTAAAATTTAGGCAAAAAAAAAATTTAGGAAAAAAAAAAAAACCAAACCAGTAGCTAAAATTATTACCTGCTGTAAATGCGGCCAAGCTGCTCTGGGAAGGCAGCTGACGAGTTTATCTTAGCAATCACAGGCTTCCAGAAACCAGGGCTTAACCTCCCAGGGTCCTTATCATCCTGCTCCTCCCTCTGCCTGCTACTGTCCAGGCCTCAGGACTACTTTTAGCTCCACAGCTTTCCTTCACATTCCAGGACAGTTCTCAGCTCCCTCAACAGCCTCCAACATCCCTGCTGCACATGTTCTATCTGAAGCGCACGTCCAACAACAGCCGTCTAGACATGGGCTCACCAACTGAGACGAGGAATCTACTCACCTATCTTTGCAAATGAGAAACTTCAGTCATTTACTCAACAGCCCACATGACTTCCAGCCTAGCATCTTTCCACTGCACATGGGTTCTCAAAAGTCTTATGTGTCCAACATCCAAGCTTATTAAAAACACAGATTCTGGAATCAGTGGCGGACCATGGGCAGGTGGGCAGTGCCCCAGGCCACCAGAAAATCAGTCCTGGAGCCTGGGCCGACTGCAGATATGGCAGCTGTGACTATGCCAGCAAGGAGGTGTGGGGATGCAGGGTTGGAGAACTGCTGAGGAAGTATTTTACAGGTGATGAATGACTTCTGGGGGACTTCCATGGACCAGGCCACTACAATCACAGGTAAACAAGGGACTGAGACCAGCTGGTTTGCAGTGCAGGAAGCTGGAGGACATGTCTGGATCAGACCAGGATACCTGCCCACATGTAAGACCTAAGTTAGGCTAGCTGGAATTGATCACAGTCCACTTGCAAACACGAATGCTAAGGACTATGGCACACTGTTGGGGCAGGAGGTAGGCCATGTTAGGATGGGCCATGACACTGACATGTGAGAAAACTGGGTCTGGAGGCAGATGCTGTGGGGAATTTGTGTGCTCATCCCTGTAGGACTGCAATACCCTCTGGTTTGTGTGAGAGCTGAGGGTGGTGACAGCCACACTAGGCATGACCTTGGAAGTCAGCAACACTAATGGGAACTGGGACTCAGAGTAGGCTGGATTGGTTCAGGCTGTAGCACCCATTGGCACACCCAAGAATTGGATGTGGGGCCAGGTTGGGATGCAGTATTGACCAGCACTCAAAAAGACTAAGACCAGGGAGTTGACAATGTTAGGTATGGCCCTAGCCCCACTGACACATATGAATCCAATACTGGGAGCAGGCCTGGTACAAGAACTGGGGAAACCCTGTACTCGGCTGCAGGTTCTGCTGGTAAGCACAAGAGCTAGGGTTGGGTGTGGGCTAGACCAGAAAGGCCAGGCCAAGTTTAGCACGCACACTGGCATGCATGGGAGTCAGGACAGGGTGTGGGCCACTCCAGGCTAGGTTTTCACACTTGCCTGTTTACCTGAGTACCCAGCACGGAGAGTTGGGACTGAGGGCAGGCCAGGCTGGGCCAGGCCACAGCGTCCCATGGCAAAAGGCAAGATGGGATAGGCTATGTCAGACTGGGTCAGAGCAATCCCTAGCATATGCAAGGTGTGTGGCTGGGGTGGGCTTGGTCAAAGATCTAAAGGGACGACTCTGCTGGGCTGCGGTTCCCACTCGTGAGTGCAAGAGCTGAAATGGGAGCAGCGAGCTGGGCTGTGCATGGCTGCAGCATCCCTCAGCATACATGGGGCTAGGTCTGGGAGTGTGCTAGAATGGGCTAGATATTGGCACTCACTGAACCTACCCCTTCTGGCTATTACTATTGGGTGCTACAATCCAGCCCTCCCATAGTCAGCTCTTTTGTGGATCAGTGAGTGTAGGCTATTGGGGATGACAGACTGAGCCACATCCTGCACACACAGGATTGCTTCTTGGCCTTTTGGCTAAGATCAAGTGTACCACACACAGGAGTCAGGTCTATAGTCACCTCTGGTGAGGTGACCAACTGGACCACTGGACTAAAAACTCCAATCACAGGGAAAATTACAGGAGTTGTGGTCTGACCTTTCAATGCATGTATCAAAACTGGGCCTCCTAGGTGGAAGCCTGTGCAGTGGATGGCACGGCCAGATGCACATGGGGGACATGACAGCTCATTGAGGCCTAAAGAGGACATCTAGAACCACGTCAGAAAATGGAGAGCAGAACCAATTGGAGAGCTCTCCTGGCCAAGTTTCGACAGAAAGTATCTGGGAAATGGAGACTCCAAGGTAGACTATACCAGCCAATGGAACTTAGAAAGGTTTCCTCAACCTCGGAGCAACATAAATGGCAGCATCTTAGAACTACTGAAGCCACTTAAACAGCATCCTTGCAATATGTTCCACATCGGGGATACTAGGATAACACCAAGTGGCCGTCTCCATCCCTGGGTACTGATGTGGTTAGGCTGCTGGAAGTGACCTTCTTTCCTCCCCTTCCCCAGTCAGAAAGAAAAGAAAAAACTGAAAGCAGCTGTCTCATCCACTTTCTCCCATACCATGGCTCTCCTCACTCTAGTTAGTGGTCTACATGGGTGTGCATCCTTCTCAACTACGTAAACAACACACAGATTCCCGTCCTCTCAGATTTTGCTCAAGTAAGTGAAGTCAAGACCAGAACTCATACTTTGTAAAAGGAGTCAGATGATTCTAAAGTAAGCAGTCCATATATGAGATGAAGATATGGTCATCTTCTAGTACTTGGCACAGGATCTGAAATGTTCCATTTCTGCCCCCACACCAGAACTTTCAAAAAAAAAAGTTACTTACTGCAACTTGAGCTGAATCCATGAATCTCAGGCCAAAATAGTCACTCTCAATAAGGTCCAGGTGATACATAATCTGATCAAACAGCTCCTGTCCTTTGGCTTTTTTCTGAAACAGCAAGAAAATAAACTCATCATTCCATTCCTTATAAGATCAACACACCTGAGTAAAAAGTAGTTTCAATGATACATAAACTCTTAAAGAAAATATGACATATAATAACACAAACATTGTCATACAGTAAACAATCACTCAACAAACCTTGTAAGGCCAAAAAAAAAGGTGCAACTTTTCCTTATCTTCTTGAAGATTATTAGTTTGAATTAGCCAATAAATATTAACTATTCAGAGGTAAAAAAGCCTTTTTTTAAAAAACCAAACACAATATATGGATTAAGGAGAAATTCTTATGTTAGAGTTTCCTTCTTAAAGGAGCCCATGATGTAACTGAGAAGAAAGAACACGAAAATTCGGAGCACTTCATATTCATATGGAACTAGCCACACTTGGAAAGAGTTCCCACAGAGTGGTCTCAGGGTCACGGGGCACCCCCTTTTTTGGTCAATTTATTCTAATTTATTTGAAAAAGTAAGAGAGAGAAGAAAGAAACAAATACTGAGAATTCCCAAATATTCAGAACGTCCAGCGTGAGCCAGGGCAGAAACAAGAGTCAGGAATTGGAGCCAGGTCTCCCACACAGGTGGCAGGGAGCCAACTGTGCAATCACTGCTACCTCCCCGAATCTGCATGAGCAAGAAGCTAGAAGCAGGCCAGGCGCCAGTGCTGGGCCCTGAACCCAGCCACCCCACTGTGGGGTACAGGTGTCTTAACCACTGGCCCAACCATTCACCAACCACTCCTTCACTCTCCACCTGCAATCAGACCCTTTCCAAAGAGGCAAGAGGTCCAAAGATTCTCATTAGCTCAATCAAAAAAACAAAACAAAAAAAAAAAACAAAAAAACAACAACAACAAAAAAACAAGGCTTATGTAGGAGCTGGCATTTCATGTGGGTACTGCTTCATACCCTGGCTGCCTCACTTCCCTGCTAATGGCCTGGGAAAGCAGCAGAGGATTGCCCAAGTGCTTGGGTGCCCTGCACTTCCATGGGAGACCTAGAAGCTGCATCTGGCTTAGGCCAGGCCCAGTTGCAGCTGCTGCAGCCACTCGGGGAGTAAACTAACAAATTAAAAAGCTCTCTGTAACTTTGCCTTTCAAATATAATTAACCTTTCTTAAAAACAAATAAAAGAAATAGAAAAAAGAAAGAGAATCCAATAACCTTTCATTAAATAGACATTAAGAGGCCCGGTGCAATAGCATAGTGGTTAAAGTCCTTGCCTTGAATGCACCGGGATCACATATGGGTGCCAGTTCTAATCCCGGCAGCCCTGCTTCCCATCCAGCTTCCTGCTTGTGGCCTGGGGAAGCAGTTGAGGATGGCTCAAAGCCTTGGGACCCTGCACCTGCGCGGGAGACCGGAAGAAGCTTCAGGTTCCTGCCTTCAGATTGGCTCAGCTCCAGCCATGGTGGTCACTTGGGCAGTGAATCAGACGGAAGCTCTTTCTCTGTCTCTCCTCCTCTCTGTATATCGGACTGTCCAATAAAAACAGCTTTTAAAAAAGTTCAAGGTTCAAAGCTACTTCAACATTTTCTCCAACACTCAAAAAGTATCATCCCATTGTTTTGTTGCAGTCAATGCTACAGAGTGAAACATGCGTTGTCCGTATTCACTTGTGTTCCTTGGTGTGTAATCTATTCGCTTTTAGATCTCATCTCTGATAGTCTTAACCTTCATTGCACCGGGCAGAGATCTGGACTTTTCCTTAACCTTCCATGATGTTCTCTTCCAATCTGAGTTCTTCCGCTTTTTTCAGTTCTGGAAAATCAATCACTACTTTGTCCTCAAACATTTTCTCTATCTTTGTCAATGTTAAGTTTCTTATCAAGTGCTGCCACTTCTACTTCAGGACTGCTACTTTGTTTAAGTATACCTCTGCTTAAAATACTTCTTAAAAAAGTGTGGAAGACAGATATTACAAGTATGAGTTTACTTGGGTGCAAACAGCTTTTTCATAATACACATTTTCCACATATTCTGAGAAACTTTTTCATCCTAAAGAGCTGAATGTCTTGGGAATCTAGCCATGTCAGTCGAGACTTTTACGTTAAATAAGGCAATGGGTGAATGAGTGCCCTTTAATGATTTCTTGTCTCTTGTCTTTTTTTTTTTTTTTCTTTTTGAAATCAGGGAACAAAAATCAGTCAGACGGAGAAAAATCAGGCTGTGTCCTTAACAACTTCCCACCAAAATTCCCAACAAAAATTGGCAACACTGGATAAGATGCACAAGCAGAAGTGTCCGCCAGAGGAAGCTTTCTCTAAACCCTTCCATAAAAATCAGGTGCTGTGATGATCTGAACCCCACCCTCCCCAGAAGGCTAACAAACAAAATATCTCGAATGTCAAGGAAAAACAAATGGAAAAACAAAAACAAAAACAACCCTGACCTTCGCTTCTGATCAATCCACTGCTGCTTTTGCCAGGAGCACCTCCACCTCTTATTAGCACTGCAGAGAAATGCTCCGAGGTCTTGTTGACATTTTCCATGAAAGTTCTGCTGGTCTAGTGCCCATCTGGCTACAGCAGCATGGGCCTCACTGACCTCAAAGTTGGCTCCATGCTCATTCAGTCAGAGCCACGTGAGGGGACCCAGCTGAGCTATCGACGGTGTTGCCCACTGCTTCCGTCATCAGCCATCTGTTGCCAGCTGGATTGGAAGTGGGACAGCTGGAAGCCAAGCTCCTGGTTATTTGGGAGACTGGTGCTAACAAGTGGCAACTTAACCCACTGTGCCACAAAGCTGGCCCTTATTTATATATCTGAAAGGCAGAAGCAGTACAATACAGAGAGAGAGGATAGACAGACTGTCCACCTACTGGCTTTCTGCATAAATGGCCATTAACAGTCAAGTGTAAGCCAGACAGAAGCCAGTAACCCCGGCCTGTCTCACACATGCGGGGGCCCATGTATGTAGGCTAGGTTCTAGTGCCTTCTCAAATGCACTTAGCATGAAGGTTGGTTGGAAGTGTAGCAGCCAGCAGGAAAACAGGCACTCCAATATGGGCTGCAGGCGCCCAGGAGGCAGCACAACCAGCTACACCAAATCTCTGGGCTCCACAGAGGCTTTCTGAACAGGTGCCAGTGACTGCCTCACTGCAACAATGCCTGTATTTCCTGAGGACGAGCGACACTCAGGACCTTTTCCTGTGCTCACTGGTCACTTTGCTTTGCACATTGTCTTCAGAAGTATATCTACTTATATTATTTTCCCATTTCTTAATTGGATTATTCTGGTGCTGTTATTGACTTGTAGTTCTTTACACATACAAACACCCAGATTATTTATTTATCTGAAAGGTGGAGCTGTAGGGAAGGGAGGCTAGAGAAAGAGAATCTTCTGCCACCAATTCAATCCCCAAATGACTACAATGGCTGCAGCTGGGCAGATCCGAAGCCAGCATCTTATTCCGGGTCTCCCGCAGGGTACAGGAGACCAAGGAATTCAGCCATCTTCTGCTGCTCTCTCAGATGCACCAGAAGTGGAGCAGCTGGAACATGAACTGGCAACCATGTGGATGCCGGTAGTGTAGCAAAGACCCTATACTCTATGCCATGCTGCATCACTGTCCTAAGCAGGAGCATCAGGTGAGCCCCTGTTCCCCAAGAAGATAACATTCTAGGAAAGAAAGAAAATAACAAGCTAAGTTATAAGTAAAAGTTATCAAGATAAAGGGAATCAAGGATGGGAAATAACCTTCAAACAGAAAGACCTGTTATAAAGGAGCAACTTGAAAAGAGACTGGATGAAGTAACAGCATGACCTATGTGCCCAGAGAAAGCACATCTCAGGCAGAATGTGAAGTTCCCAGATGTGTGGGTGCATGTAGGGGTGTGGGCGCAGAGCACAATAAAGCATGTGGCAGAGAAAGCATGTCCAAGGCAGCTAACCGAGTAAGCAAAGGAAAAGAATGGTCACCAATGTGGATGGAAGTCTGCAGAGGACCACAACATGAAAATCCACACAGACAAGTAACAAAGCAATTGAACACTGAGAGCTTATTTGTTCTGTCAATACATGGGAAAGGAAGAGACAGTCACTATTAGAAAAGACAAAGAAAAGTATTGGTTTTAAACATCCACTGCTAATACATGTTTAACTACAAAGACCCAAAACACTGCTAACAGACAGAAAGTAGCAATTACACTAACCTCTGCTAACAGCAATCACCTACAGAAACCAAAACATTCCTCTCCATCACAGTGGGAAGCACAGAAGTCTTCTGATGAGTCCTTTAGCTTGTACCAAACATTAACACATTTCTATGACTTAACTTCTAAGGTGCCACTTCCAGAGTGAATTTCATATTCCATCAACATCCCATTTTTGTTTCAAACACCAAGGAGAAGCATAGTCTTAAAAAAATCTCTTCTCCTTGCTGTGCCCAAATGTCACTTCCAGCCCCATGTGCATGATAGTTGTGTCCTAAGAAGACACAGGATGGTCTTCTGCCAACTGCTCAGTTGCGTTCTCTGATTAAAACACTCTCAAGGTTATCTATTGATGCGCTCTGAATGGGGGCCAGCTCCAGGCCAACCCACAGCAAACGCCAGACCTCTGCAGTTCCCGCAAGTTAATAATCCACAGCAACATAGCCGTGGCTTCCCCAAACACCTCAGTCTGATGTTTATAAGTAGCATAGATATTTTTAAAACTTTCATCCAAGGTCTTATCTGCAAGACAAAGAACTACACCACTACAAGAAATGAGTCCCAGACAAAATGTGCAACAATAACAGTACTTTGGTTTCAGAAAATTTTCTGGGTCTAATCCAGAAATCCCACGTGTTATCACTGACAACGTAGAAGAGCAGGCTTTGCTAATATTATTGTAGGTCTATGGACACTGAAATCAAGCTTGTTTGGGGAAAATAACCATCAATCTTGGAAGGGACTTTGGAAATAGTATCTTAAATCATCAGGCTCTGTCCTATTCTGCATTCTTTTTTATTCTGTTTTGCACTTATTAATACCTTATGGAAAAAAGTG